GCGCGCGTTGTCGCCGCTGGGCCCCCCTCGCTCTCTGCAGTGGCAGGCGCAGTACCCAGAGCCTCCAGAAGGGGCTGCGGCGCGCGTTGTCGCCGCTGGGCCCCCCTGCGGTTCTGTGCGTTACTGCCATTGTGATTTGCAAAGCAATGGTTGTGACAGGCTGCGAATCGCACTCACTCACTCACTCACTCACTCAATCCACTCACTCACTCCACTTACTCACTCCACTCACTCACTCCACTCACTCACTCACTCACTCACTCACTCACTCATACACACCTCCTCCCTCCCCTCCTTCTCATCCTCGTCCATCACATCATCACTTATACTACACGTCTTAGCACAACCGCCTCATATACCTTCTCTCCTCACACTTCGTTCTTGACCTTTCATCTCACTACTCCGTCTCCCATGTGATGTTCATATACAATTGAAATTTGTAAAACTTATCATGTGGGGTTATCCGGTCCTTTTATTGTTTGTCCAGGTCTGCCTGTCCTGCTTGTCCACGTTGTGGGCCCGTTTATCACCGTCTTACCCGGGGCTTGTCCCCTGCTTGGCCACGCCGTTTTTTCTATCTCCACCCCCTTGTCGGGGTATGTTTTCATGTGGCTATGAATGATGCAACAGTGACACAGCGATCGAAATGCGATATCACCATCGGATCTTCTCACGACATATATCCGGTATCCCATAGTTTCGCGCATGTGACACAGGCATCAGAAACTGGTGTTTTCAAACATTTATTGTTTAGGTGCAGTTCCCAAACAGCTGGAGGCTTTAGAAAAGTATACTTGCATTCGTTTCCACCAACATTGGAATTTTCGGAGTTGACGCCGACGCCGACAAAAATGCTGACGCTGTTTGGTGTCTATGCTGGTGTATTTTTTTTGCACAGATATACACTGATCATCGAATGGTCATCGAACATAGCAGTCCGACTGCCCTGATCGGCGCTTGGCCTCGCTGATCAAGGCTCAATCCACCCTACCCAGGCAGACGCCCTGCACCGGATGGAGCAAAGTGACTGGCCCAAGCAGGACGGAGATTGTCTAAGTTTTGTCGTTTTTTGACGCGGATGCTCAAAAGATCTTGGATGGCGTGCAAAAACAATCAACAAATGTTTTTCATGGGAGTTGTTGATTTAACATATCTTGTCGGGACGTCGAGTCCTTCAGACCCGAAACCGACCTGAAACCTGGCCGAGTTTCCGCGTCTCTTCGTGGAGAACGGCCACCTCAGGAGACGTGTTATGTCACCCTGTTGAAGCTCCTCAACAACATCGTGGAACATCCCTCCGAGGTGCCCGAGCACAACAGCGCATCGTCCCATCGGTACATCTTCCCATCTGGTGGCGTTTCCGGCGGGTTTCCGGGAATGGCCCGGAGGCCGCAAAAGAGATAACGAAAAAAAACATGAGAAGATGAGATGTCCAGAAGTTGCCAACTGGAGTGGACATGCACCACGGACAGTACATGGAGCTTTGGGGGTGTACTCTTACCTGAAACCGTCAGCAAGCCTCAGTAAGCAGTTATTCATGTTAGAGAAAGGATGAGAAAGGCCTTTACTGACCATCATCCACTGTTACACGGAATGGGCTAACTGGAAGTTGGGATCTCCAAACAACAATGATCGTCACTTGATTTCTGTGCGGACAAATTCTCTTGAGGGAGGTGGAGCCCTTCGTGGGTCAAGGAGTCTAATCGTAGAAAAAGAACATACTGTAATATTGTTACAAGGCCAAAGAGCCAGGAAAACCTGATCTTTTGCCTCCTTTAGTGTTGGTTTTGTATGACCATCTCCAGTAAAATGAGTTCACACTGACTTGCGTGACTTGTAGGGTATAGGTCCAAGTTGATGCAGACCCTGAAGGTCACCCGTGCTTTGGCTTCTCTCCATCCAGCCATACAAGGAGGGATGGTTTTGCAGTGTTCAACGGTATAAGATCCTCGTGGTTGATGATACGCTGGGGGCTTAGTGGGTCGAACCAACCACCCGCCGTTGGTGGTGGAGGTCACCACCCGCACGCGTCATCGAATCGGTGGATCTACAAATTTAAAGAACATTGGAACATGTCCAATAGAGGTTGAAGAACCAATAGGTTTCCTACCAGGTAACCCAGGTAAGTAGGGTCCTACAAGGTCACTTAACCTCTCTTGGTTGAGAAGCACCGCCGATTCTGGAACTTTGAGATGATATCTGAGACCCGCGTACTGAGAATATATGAGAACCACCGCCATAAGTCTCTTCTTGGACAAGCGATTTGACCACCTGATCAACTCTGTAATAACTTTAGTCCCGGGACCATGGCAATGACGGGTGAAGGTTTTCAACTATATATATATATACTAGGCAGACCGGCAGCAGACCATTCATTTGCACGATGTTGCACGTGTCGAACATGTTCCAAACAATCTGCAGGCAGACCGGACGACCTGTCAAAACCCAACAAAAAGCGACCGTCGCCACCTGAATTCGGACGGTCCGTTCCGATCCTCGGACGCTGTTCAGGCGAAGTTCCGGCACCTGAAGACCAGCAACGCCGCGCTGAAAGCCAAGGCCCCAAGTCGTGGATCCGAGGGTCATCCTGAGTCGAAGGAGTGAGGTGAACGACCAAACCGTTTCAACGTCTTGCAAAGCGTTTCTTCATATCTAAGCCCACAAAAGATCAAAAGTGTGTAGAAACCAGACATGTTGGACAAATGTGTGTATATATAATATATTATAACCCTAGAAGTCCAAAGACTATTTTTTGACCGACTGATGTAAAGGATATTCCTTTTCGGGTCACCTAAAGACCATTCTTTTTATAGTCTTTGACTCCCAGGGAATATGTATGTTTGACCTATTTCAAGCATTTGCTTTGTTGGTGCATCGTATAGGTGGTTTAGCCAGCTTAGCCACGAACCATGCACATGTTCTTGCGTGGCCCACAACTCATCTTGGTTCAGCCCAGTGTCAGCCCAAGACTCGGTTCATCCCAGAGTAGAAGAGTTCACCTTGAAACACAAGGTAGTAAAACACCTTGTAGAGCCCAGGACTCGTGGCTTTCACCGTGTCTTTGTTACCTTGACACATATAGTTCACCTTGTCTAGTAGTCGAAACACAAGACACAAAATCCTGTTTTGACACTATACCAGGATCATCCGGGTAGGCCCTGGAACCGGGGGCGTTGTTTCGGTCACCAAAACGGGTAATACTATTGGTGGCCTTCACGCCCTGGCACGAACGGTGCCGCGAGCGTGAACGTGGGCAGGTCTTCGATGTCCCAGGCGCCAAGGACTTCCTGGTCGCCTGCGGCTTCGTGGAGGACGGCGACGGATTGGCGCCTTGGAATGAACGCAACACGAGGCATGGCACGAGACGTGGCGCATGGCGCAGACATGGCGAGACACGTGACGCATGACGGGGTGAGCACGGCAGGTTCGCAGACCCTGAGCAGAAGCAGTGGATCAAAGAGGATTTGAGTATGAGTATCCTTTTGGATGTGTTTGTTGGATCCGGGTATTGTGGTATAGGTAAAATACATTAACATACTGCCACAACAAACTGCCTGTAGACTTGGTCATGTGACACATAGTGGCATAGGAGAGTTTTTTTGTGATGTTTTGTGCTGTTTTGGGCTCAAGGGTGGCGCACTTTGCTGTCATGTGATGCGTTGTTTATGGTTCTTTTCGTGTGCAACTGCTAGTGATCTTGGTGTGAATGAGCTTAGCTTGCTTGGATTAGGCTGTTTTTTCTGAGAAGCTTGGTGCCATCCAGACGGTGTAAGGGACACCGTCGCAACGCATGGGTGAAGGTCAGATGATCCGATCGATGACCCACCACCTGCTGGGGTATTACGGTAAAGCTGTGGATGAAATCATGACACGCACCACCTGCTTCATGTCCTGTCTCTTGGGACCAACTTGGGACCCTCCAAATGCCGCATCACCCCCACATGACCACGCCACGCACGTACACCACCTGCACCACCTGCACCACGCATTCAATCGAGGATTGCCCCAGTGGCGTCGATGTGACGCCGGTGAGGGATCGCTTAAAGAAGCACGCGGACGACGCGAGCCTCGACGGGTGACGGTGGCGTCCACGGTGGCGAGACCGGGCCGACGGGCCTTGGGACGGTGGGGTTTGATGTGACGGCGATGAGACTTGGTGGTGTTTGACTTGTTTTTGGATGGGTGTGATGGTTGGTGAACAAAGAGAAGGGAATAACAGTGGACTGCTGCCAAACAGATGTGTGTTTGTTGGGCCAAGGTGGAACGTGGCGAGGTGAGAAACCAGAAAGACCGAAAAGAAACACTTTTGTTAGGCGTCCAAGTCAGGTGTTTTTCCTCGGGTCACAGGCCTGGCCTTCGAAATGCACAAGAAGAGACCACACTGGAGCGTTGAAACACCAGAGATGGACCGGTGGGGTGACTGTGTTTGATGATTTGTTGTGTCCTCGGCTGGATGGCTAAATATACTGTAGATCCTTAAACAGCACCAAGATGTTGGCACTTTTTTTTGCCGCAAGGATTCTTCACTCCAAAGACGCTTATAATCGCAAAAAGATGCTGTTTCAGGGGCTGCAAACATGTGCTCAAGAGGCTGTTTGGACACCGGGAGACGACGTTTCTCGCCTGGCTACCACAAAATGGTCCGGTTTCCGCCTTGTCACAACATTTCGCGCAATCTTTAGGGAACAAAAATGCAATGATTTTTCGGCCGTTTCGAGAATCCAGGTGTAAACACATAGCCTTCCTCCCAGGAAAATGAATGAGCTTCGCAGGGAACGTGATGCCAAGATTGCGGAGGCAAGGACTGTGGTCATTTTGTAAGAGCACATGTTCATGGAATTTCTACGTGGAACATGGTAGAACTAGTTCTTGCACCCATGCCATGCTGTTGCTGCACTTTCTGGGGATGAAAGTGTTTGTCATCAAGACCAAGCAGCTTGGGGGAGGGTTGTGTTGGTTTTAACACTTCGACAACACAAAAAAGATGCGGAGCAGGAAGTCTTTCCAGCACTGCGAAACCTGCTGGATTGACACCTGTATATATATGTTGGGTTTGTCCTATTACCTGTAACCGTCAGTAAACAATTATCACTATGTTTGAACAAATTGCCTTTAATGACCATCATCATCCACTGTTGGTAATAGGATAGCCCCGTACAGTATACGAGCGGATCTCAAGACGATGTTTTGTAAGCAATTTGCTTTGGAGCAAGGACCTCAAAGGAGTCACCTCTCGGAGTGTTTTGATTTCTAGCTCATTTGTTGAACCATCCCAACTCATCCATGTTCCAAGCCCTTTGTCATGTGTTAAAGGTTTGGCATGGGTGTGGAAGACCCAGAAGCAGCACTTCATTCAATTGATCACTTCCATGGGTGCCAGGAAAAGGCCAAGTCAAAGAAAGATCCCTTCACCTGTCACAAAGAGCTGGGCACTACGGTGCGGCTGCCTGGGCGCCACGAGACTGAGTAGGGATCCATAGGCGTCCTATGTGATCCTGCTCAGTTTTCGAGCGAGAGGTTTTCACACAAATATCGCTGTGGGGCAAGGACACACTGGAACTGTGTTTGTTGGGCATATCTACAATTCATGCCGATTGTTTTTTTTGGAATGCGGAACCCATTGTGGATGGCAGAAATACCTTTGTGGGATGCATGTGCAAGCCCGTTTTGGGCACATCTGCAACTTTGGAAACTTGACTCAAGGCCACCAGCAGGTCTTCACTAGATCTGCACATCCTTTGCATCCACCAGGTTTGGTGGAACCAATGGACCTGAAACGGCCCGCCTACCTGAACCCATGTGAATCAGGAATCATCAGGACATATATATATATAACAATATATATATATATGTAACTATATATATAACAATATATATATAACTATATATATAGTTATATATATATAACTATATATATATAACTATATATCAGGAAAGAAATTGAATCCCGCACACGCTGAGTGATGCTGAATGTGTTTAGCTTGGTTTTCTTTGTGGCCGAAGATCGAAGAGGCTGTATACTCGAAGAGGTTCCCGTGCGCCTGTGACTCCTTCTCCATTGAAATGGCTCGTTTGCTATCCGTTTCACTGCGCAGGAGGAAGAACGGGAAGCCATTCGAAAGGACCTTCTGCGCGTTCGTGGAGTGTTCTCCTTCTGCACCCCCGCAGCGCAGCCCAAGACCGTGCCACACGGCTTCCTCAACGTCCCTTCAAGTTGATGTCTAAAGTTCGTACCACATAATTCTCGGTGGCTTTAAAAACATCCATTCTTGGGAAGGGTGACTCTAGGGCAGAGGGTGACCAATCAAATGAAAACGGGGAATTCTAGGGTTCTTAAATGCTTCACAGTGTCACAGTGAGCTTGGTCCTTTGTCCTGACTCTAACGGTGCCACTAGTCTCTAAATGTCTCCGATTATCGATCTATATATTAGTATATAGACCCTACGTAGAAAATCTATTGGAAACGGTGCCACTATCTATTTGGGAACCACTATTACAATTATATAAGATGTTCTTCCAAATCTTTGGGCTTGTCATGGTGTGCGGTTTGGTCATCCCAATACGAGGCTCCACATCGAAAAACACATGGTTTTGGCCACGTTGGCGTGGCTCCGCCGTCCGCACATGGCACACTGTGGGATTCCAGGTGTTCTCTCGTCGCTTTCTACAGAATGACCGGATTGGCTCTGAAGACTCAACCGCTTGAAAAAGCACCAACATCCACTTTCAGATCTCCAACACATGGCACTGCGCCTTTTTCCCACCATCCAGGGAGACGCCCCGACCATCCACAACCCCACAATGACCGGGAGCGGCGATCGCCCCGAAAGGCGTCGTCGTCCTCGTCGTCGTCGTACCCGTCGTGCCCGTTCGCCAGAAGTTGGAGCGCGATCGCCTGGAGTTGGAAGCGGAGCTGGCCCACCGGGGGGCCCACGCAAGCGTCCAAGGCGTGGAAGCGCCCGCGCTGGGGCTCGGGGCTCGGGGCAACTGGGTTGGCGACGTTCGGATGAGTGAAGCATGTGGCGGAGGAGGGGGAGATGCCCCCCCCAAAAAAGCGCTGCTTGAAGGGTGCTGGGGGAGGGTGGTGGTGTTGCCAAGTGATGTGTATGTTTTTCAATGGTTTTCAGGGTTGGGACATTGGGGTCAACGTACTGAAAGATGATTGGATTCCTAGCTCCGGCCAGCAAGGTTTTGATGTCGGATTCGTTTGTTGTCTCTAAAGTACTCTAAAATACGTGCGGATTGGCTGTTCTTGGTCGTCATGGACCAATGGAGGATGATCCCAACTGCTATTGCGGAAAACAAAAAGAACGCACTATGAAACACATGGTATTTAGGACACCTCCATGTACTGTTCACATCGTTGACGGAAAAGGACCATACATGAATATAAAAATATACATAGATCCAAAGAAACATACAATACGTTCCTACCCACCGACCTACCTTATACCTATTTACATTCCACACATCGCATTGCATACATGACATCCAGTATATCCAATACATACATTACGTCCATATATAGTACACATACAAACAAACATTACATGATTTGCACTACATTACATTACAAAGCAATACATTACCATTATATCATATACCTTACCCTACCTTACCTTACATACATTACATACTGTCAAATCCCATACAGTACGGTACACGGAATTTGATTGACCAGCGATGTTCACATTGCCTAAAAGCAGGTCACCAGGGATGGTGCATCAGCCTCCATCCTTCACAAGCAGCGATGACCGGTGAGCGCCGAGGACAGTTGAACCAAAGGACATCAATCGCCCAGGGACCTGCTGACTCTTCTTTCCTCGAAAAATAGGGCTTTCTTTTAGTATATATCGCTGTATATATTATGTATCAGGAATACCAGTAACAATATATATATATATACATCTCACATTTATATGTACTGATTTCCTCTACGCCTGGCCTTTGAGCTTGGGAGGCTGGAAGTCAGAATGGGAATCACCAGGTATTGATCAGATCTAGGAACCCTTGGGCCCTTGAGGAGAGACACATCGCGCCAATCTGTTCCACGATGTCTCATTGGACCCACTGACCTTTGCTACGTACTTTCAGGATCGCATAGAGTTCCCTGTTGCAATGGTGTCTGTTTGGGAATAGTAGAGGGTTCGGTTTGGTATCATTTTCCATGCTTTGTTCCCTGGGGATATGCCGTTTGTGAATCAACTAACCAATAGTACAAGGCCGCCTATCTCCAAAGGGTTGCCCCTGCAAGTTGAGATTTGCCTTGTTGGAAAAAACCAGCTGCAAACCACCTGCCAGTTTTTGGCCACCCACCAATGCCACGAGCACTCGGCACCAACTGTTTTTTTTATAGTAGAAAAGCACGGCTAGATACAGTAATAATATTGTACAAAAACACATTTTCTGAAAAAAAAAAAAACGTGGAATTCTTGTTTTCTTGTGAGAGACGTCCCACAGCTAGACGTCGCTAAACCCCAACCGGCGCTTCCGAACGGCCGGGTGGGAGGCCACGGACCTCAAGTTCGGAGCGCACGAGGCGACACTCGCGCGTGCGGTCGCCGTGGTTCTTCGAAGTGTCGGGCTTCAGACGAACCCACCGAGGAAGCAGAAGGCATCGGACACAAAAATTCCGCGGTTTTTCTTCAAACAACTTGGGGGTGCACAAACGAATCGAGAGCGAACAAGACCAAGAAGGCTGCGAGTGTTCATGAGTTTTCTGATGGTCGGGGTAGCATTTGAAGCTGGTGGCATTGGTGTGGCATATGCCGCCTGGATATCCATCATGGAAGTGGATGGCACCATGGACAACCACCTGGTTGGTCTTCCGAAATTGGTCATCCACGATGCCATGCCATCCACAAATTCCGATGATTTCATTGAGGGCATCGCGAAAGTTCGCGTCACTCACCTCAGTGGGATTGGAATTGATGACCAGAAGATGGCCACTCGAGATGTACACAGAGATTCACTCTTGATTTAATTCCTCCCCACAGACTCCCCCACCAGGTTTCCGGAATCAAAGAGTTTATGTCTTGATTTAATTCGTGGCCCATTGTCCAAAGCAGTATTGTGGAATATTGTGGATATGCGCCCTGTTACAAAGAATTAGCTCCAGTGTTTCATTCTGCCAGCTCACAAGTTGGCATGATAAAATGACAATTCGCTTGCTAAATTTAACTCTCGATTTAATTCCTTTTTGGCATGAGCACAGAAGTGACACACCATGTGCAAGCATTAACTTTAGAGTTAATTTGTTAGAACTCCTCTTTTCACGCTCTGCCTAGACATGATTAGACATGATTCGGTTCCTGGGGTTCCTGGGTCTTTTTGAAGGCATGTCATGTGCAGTTTGGTGCCTCACGTTTTCCTTGCCTCTCTCTCTCTCTCTTTTTTTTGTTGCTCTCTTTCTCTCTCTCGCTCGCTTGCTCGCTCTTTGATTACAAGAGCTTCGTCCCAGCAAACCTTTGTGAAACGTCCATGGGAAGGCACTCGCAGAGGCCTAGACTCCTAGACATGAAGCATGATGGAGCATGAAGGTATCCTTTTTCCCTGGATTTATTGATGTCTTTTGGAGGGTATACGAGATACTGCAAAGTTGTGTTCGGCTTTCAGTGTTTGCTTCGTTGATCTTTACCCAGGACGTTGTTGCTAACACACTTAGAGAGAGAGGGAGAGCTTGCAAGAGCACATGTGCAGATACTGGATCAGCAAACTCGTTAGCTCCTTACTGGATTAGCAGCGCAACACCAGATTGGCTCAGCTTGAGTATTACGTAGGGAACTTGCGCGAAACGAAAGTGAAAGCAGGTACGTAACTCCAGCGTCCCAGAGTTATGTCACAGTGCAGCAGATGCGTCTTCATTGGCTGGAGACACTCCAGTCCCTTGTGAGACCCTTAGAAACAGGGTTTGACACACACAGGGAGCGGTCAAAGCCTCTGTTACAACCTAACAAGCTCTTAGGAAGAGAGAGGAAAGCAGAGAAGAGAAACGCAACAAGAAGGATGAAAGGTGACTAGTTCCGAGCAGGGGTGCCTGACGGCAAGGTAAAATTGGTTCCATAAGGAACTGTGTGTGTGTGTGTTGGGTTTCACACATAAAGCCGAGTATGCAACCTGACTTACACCTAACAAGCCTCTAGGAAGAGAGAAAGACGGCAGAGAAGAGAAACGCAACTCAACCGGAAGAAAGAAACGTGACTGCAGTAGTTGCGGAAATGAGCAATACGATGTTGATTCTCTGGATTTTGTCCGTAAACCCAGTGGTATGAAGCGGCATTCTCATGAAGAGCACTTGCTCAGTAAAGCTTCGATGCAAAACAAAAGTTCAGGAATACGCCCTCTTAACTGGGGGTGAAGCGCCCCGGAGGGATCACACAGCCACCACAGTTGGACGATGCTGCGATTCACACGTAGAGAGAGAGAGAGAGAGCTCGCAAGAGCACATGTGCAGATACTGGATCAGCTAACTCGTTCCTTACTGGATTAGCACTTTAATGCGCAACACCAGGTTGGCTCAGCTTGAGCATTACGTAGGGAACTTGCGCGAAACGAAAGTGAAAGCAGGTACGTAACTCCAGCATCCCACAGTTATATCACAGTGCAGCAGATGAGTCTTCGATCAGTCCCCTGCGTTGAAATTGTATTACACAGCTTGTGGGAGACCCTTAGAAACAGGGTGTGACACACTCTGACATTGGTTTTCGGTTAACTCAATTCCCAAGTGGAAAAAAGGTGAGAGAACTGCATGGCGAAAGGTCCAGGAAAGTGTAGGTGTTTTAACAAAATGGTTTTCGCACTTGACTGCGGAAAGCGCACAGCGGCAAAGCGGCTGCAGTTAGTAGTGGGGAAAGGTTTAGGGGAGGTACGTGGAACCACCATGGAAGCGAACAAGAGAGATTGGAACAGCGTGGGCAAAAGTTCAAACCTGTCGCAGGTACGTGAGTCGAGCGTCCTCGACTCACTTCACAGGAAACGTGCAGCGTCTTCGTTGGTCGCTGACTGCACGAAACCCCAGCGACCCCCTGCTGAAAAAACTTCAA